TCTTCCATAGGCACGTTTAGTTCGGAGCTTCGTATTGCTCTTGCAGTTCACCATCTCCTACGTGGAGCTGCTGGAGTTTGCTGTAAGGGGTGTGATTCCTTGTCCCGGTCTGGTGTTACTTGGTGGGTGGGGGGCAGGAACCAATGTTTCCCATCGCCGTCACCTCAAAACTAACTGTGCATCGCTTTCAGGTACATGAGTAGACCTGTGATGAGTGGTCCTGGTCTGTATGATCCTACAACCATCATGAATGCTGATATTTTAGCCTATTGCCAGAAAGAAGGATGGTGCAAATTAGCATTCTACCTTCTATCATTTTTTTACTACCTATATGGGTAAGTTTTTTTTGTTTTTTTTCCTCTTGTCTATCATCTAATCTTCAGTCTGATTTTTTTTTTTTTAAATGGGGCTTCAGTGCAGAAGGCAAATTTTGTACATAGGAACATACATAGTGCCAACTTTCCTGAAAAAGAATCCACAATCACTATTTATTCTTGATTAAAACACAAGTCTTAATTTGGTTGGAATTACCGTTTTCGAATCTGTATACCATGATTAGAGACTTGAAAGCTCCAAGCTTCTCTTCTTTTAAGCATAATATAATAAACTCCCCCAGTATTTTCGTTAAGGAGCTGGAACAGTAATATTTTTAAAGTAGGTATTTTGATGTAAATGTAATTTTTGTTGAAGTCAAAGGTAGAAGAGTCATTCCAAGAGTGAAAAGGGGTTGGAGGCACAAAAGTCAGTGCCACTGCCTGGTTCCACCTCCCAATTCTTCCTTCAAAGCAAAAGCCAACTGGCCGCTTGGTGTTCACATCTGTTCTGGGCGGTGTGACACGGGAGGCGGCATGCAGTCCTCCTTCCTTTCGGCATGATGCATCGCTTAAAACACATCTGGAATAGTTTAGGCTTTTAACACGTTGGCACCATGTTTATACAGGGTTCCCTGTTGTAATGTCACTTGATGTGGTGATGACTGGTTGTTGCATCAGTTCATGTCCTGCTTTATAATGCCTTTCTTGTGTGCTTTGTGTAAAATCTTCAGTCACGATCCATGTAGATGCAGATTTGTTCCTTAGAATACATGACTGTATATTAAATGGATAACGCTAATGAAAAAATGCTGCATCTTAATATTTTTGTTTTATTTTCCAGCATGATTTATGTTCTGGTGAGCTCTTAAGAAGACAGTCAGCAAGCTTTGTTCCAGTTAAATGCATGCAAAAGCCACAAACCATGGATTCTTTACAATGAGAACCTCTGACCAAGATTAAATACGGAATCTGATGATCGCATTTGCATTAGAAAACAATGACTCCCCTATTTTTAAAATATTTCCACATTTTATACTTGTGGAAAGACTGTTTTCTTATATTTTACTGGGACACTGAAATTAAAGAATTACATGTAAATTAATATAAACATTACTGGGTTTTGGAGAGTTTTGACTTTGCACTCCATAAGGAACAGCCATACTCTTCAAGTAGGTATTCATTACTGACTAGCCTTAGTACACTAGGGATTTTCTTTAGGCTGGGCTTTGTAGTGGCTCATTTGGACTTGTGTATCCCACTCTTTAACTCTAAATCAGCTGTAGCTGCCAAACACTTGGGAAGGACTGGAAGTGCTCTGTGTGTTTTACCTGTAGGTGACGTTGGTCTTAAGAGACGAATTCATGGACACAACTGCAAAAATAGGAGTTCTGTTTTTGTTTATTTTATTTTCTATGTGGTTAATCTTTCCCTGTATATGCATGGTTCAGAGACTTCTGTATTGTCACGAACGTTAGGCTTGCTTTAATCTCAAGCATATGTCATTGTGATAGGAGAAGTTGAATTGTCCATGAAGGAGTGAATTTAAATGATGATTTTTTTATTAATGTCTGCGCTATTTTATTAACAAATGGACAAACCTACAACATTTATCAAGTCCTGTGATGAAAATACTCGAGTTTGAGTAATGCTACAGACCTTTTCAAAGCAGAAAGCGAGATTGTGAAACTGCCCTACTGTTCCTTGGTGCAATAATAATAATTTAAAAAAATCTCCAATTCAGAAACACTTATTTTTACCTGGTGCCTTGTTGTGTTTTTAAATTGAACAGATACTTGCTGTATTCATTTGTTTTATGATGGTTAATTTCATTACCTTTTAAAAATAGAACACTGAATCAAGTTATGGCTGGAAAAGGGAAGCTCTGGTTTCCTGCTTTTCTTTTTTTCCTGGGTGTGCAGCTAAATAGTAGATGGGCCAGGGGGAAGATGTTTCAGCTGAACTGGTAATACTGCATTGTAAATTATGACTGCGAACAGCTGCTTAATTTAGGAGTAATAGTTAGGAATCTTTTTCATTTACCTGTGCTGGAGAATAATGAATAGTTTCTTGAGTTCTAGTAAAACATTTTTGTATAAACTGTTTATTTGTTCACTTTGGGTGTCTTGGGTGTTAGATGCAATAGAAGTCGTACGAATGGCTGCGCTGGCTTAGACCAAAAATCCAGGTACTCTGATACTGCTGTGTTGGACAGTGGGCAGTGGCAACGATTGAGGGGGAAAAACAATATTCCACAGGGCAGGTATTGAATATCTCTTCCTGAATAGTAGGAAAAAGTGTTTGGAAAACCTACTTGTTACAGATTTCCTGAGCTAGAGGTTTGGCATTGTAAACGGCCCTTGAATAGCTTTTCTTCCATTAATTCAGTTGTTGAGCACTTTTATAACTGAGTGTGGAAGATACCCTGAGACAGTGAGTTCTGCAATGGAATTACTCAGTATGTAAAAAATACTTGTTTAAAAGTTCTGCCAGACTTTATGTGGTGCCTCTAAGCTCTTATTTTTTGAGGTATATTGAAAATTTTCCCCTTTCCACATTATTTATGCTGGACACAATTGAATAGACCTCCATCATGTCATCTTTCAAAGCGGAGAAGTCTTAATCTCTTCTTGATTTGAAGTCCTTCTATGGCTTTGTGATTATCCTTTCTACTCTGCAAGTTTTCCTTTTCTAAGCTGGAGGAGACCAGAACTATTGCCATCACACAAGATTTGGGTGCCCAGGGGATTTAGAGTGGCAGTTGCTTGCTCTCTGCTACCAAATTCCTCTCTTTTTCTAGTACACTTGGGGTATGAGAATTCAGGCTGTGATAACTCCAAATCTTCTTTCCTAATCTGATGGTTTATTACTATGTATATAAAATAGTTTTTCTTATGTGTTTCTTCTTTGCGTTTATTGATGCTTAATGTCACATGCCATCATTGCTCAAGCGTTCAGCATTACAAAATGTTTGGGTTTTTTTTTTTCCCTGAATGTCCCAAAACATTCACAACAGTTGCAGGCTTTATCTCACAGCCCTTGTTTTCTGTGCAAAGCTTTGCAAGAAGCCCGTCCTCACCAAAAAGTTTTTATTCCTATTCTACAATCCCTTTTGATCAGTTGTTAGTTGACAAGAGGATTTCCTTCCTTGTGCAACACTAACTTTGAGCTTTTAGCAAAGGAATTTTTGCAAGGCTTTCTTGGAAGTCCTGAATATTGTTCCTGTTGGATCATTATTTTCCTGCTGCTTAGCTCCTTCAGAGACTGCTGTAAGATATGACTTCAGCCTGTGTAAGCAAAACTAATTAACTCTTTTGTATGTTTGTATATTTATTAATCTGTTATGGAAGTGAGACTTAACTCATAGTCCCTAGCTCTCCTTGGCCTTCTAAAAACATCTTTTTCCTTTGGTACTTGAGCTGATCTAAGTTACACACCCAAATAAATGCAGGATTTATTGACGCAAACTGATACTGCTTCTACACCCCCCCCATCCAGCTGTGGAACGGTGATGCGGGCTTTCTTCCCAGAGCCAAAATTTACCTCACAGGGTGTCAGAGGATACCTGGGCGCTGAAGCAGACGATCATTGCATCCTCGGAATGGGACAGAACTAATTTAAATGTTTTCTTGAGGAGTCTGTTCATCTTCTCTGGTCTTTGTGAGTGGGCATAGTTAAAGAGGAGTGTCATGGACTGTTAGGGGCATGTTGCTGTGAGATTCTCTCCAGCCCACAGCTGATTGTTTGTTTACTTTCTCTAGTGTTAGCATGCAGAATTGCTGCACCAGAAACTCACCCACGCAGCTACAGCTTGGTTTATCACAGATCTTCAGTATAAAGCCTCCTTCTCTTGGAATGAGGGGTCTCATTCCTTGATGTCACTTGAACACATAAAGAGCGGAACTCTGATGTTTTAGAGTGAGTTCTTACTAGTTCGTAAGGGGCGAGCACTCCAGCAGGAAAATTTTCATGCTTGATTTTCCTTTGGTTTAAAGATACAGCTAAGGGTTTTTTTGAAAGAGCTCCAGTAATGTAATTCTTACCTAGCTGCATTATCCCAGCATGACTTTCTTACAAAGGCAGTAGAGAAGGAGTTCTTTTTTATCTCTTCCCCCTTTTCCTTGCCCTACGTGCGGGACTAGAAGCCAGCCTGTCGGCACTGGAAGTCCACGCTTAGCTGTGAGGAGTTACAGCCTATTATGTTTCCTCCCGTATCCTGCCTTCATGTCCAATTGCTTGTCCCAGTTCTCACGCTACGTAGAACAGAGAGGAAGTCAAAATGAAATTCAGTCACTGCTTTCACAGCCCAGCCTCCCTTCCTCATGTAAGTTCACTGAAGCAGCCCGTAGGATGTCAACATGAAAACATCAGTGTACCAGTTCAATAGCAGCAGGCACGTATGCTGTCGGTACCAAGTGATGTTAAACATGAGGTAGACATTGTGTAAGAGTCATTATTCTATTGAAAACAAGCTCATTAGGCCACCAGCAGAACATTAATGAACACAAATACACTTCCATGTATGTCCTGTAGAGTTTCCTTCCCCAACCCCAATATTTTACCCGCAGATGTTGAAGCGAGTGGCTGTCTCAGACAGGCAGTAGCGACGAACAATTGTAAAGGTCAAGAGTGAGGCCTTTTGTCCAGGTGTTTGCTGCAGCCCCGTAGCCACAGAGATAGACCATACCAGCATCGGCTATCGTGATGCTGATCTCAGTATTGTATCCTCTGTTGCCAGATGTGCAGCTAGGTTCTCTCGAAAGTCATGGAGGTAATTGTATTGCTGAAAAAGCACAACCAGATTTGTCATGAGTGCTCTATACTTTCTGAAAAGGCACGACCCATCTTAAAAAGCTGTTCGATGCCCCAGGATGAAAACTGTGCCCTTTGGTTCGTTTAGTTGTTCTTCTTGTGCTTACTCCAAATCCTCTGGAATTTTTCATCATCAGACATAGATTACATGGATCCTGGCATGGATCCTGTGGTCCTCCTAAAGGGCACACATGAGCTCGAGGTAACACAAAACGTGGTCGTCAATAGGTGGGTAGTCCTTATATCTAGTATAAGGAGGCACACCAGTTTGTAGTAAGAGTTCTTAGGTCAACTCATACATCATGTGGAGTATTAATACACAAGTGTTCAAAATGAGATAAAAATGTTGCTGAGCAGAGGCTAAAGGACAGATCATTCACCCCAAGTGGCCGTAAAGGCTTCCAATTATAACATTTGTTCATATCCTTCCCTGTCCCTTCAACCAGGGATGCAAGCTGCTCCTCACCCGCCCTCTTGGTTTGTAGAAAACGGATCTTCAACAAGTATTTTAAACAAGATTTGCCTTCCAGAGAGGCTTAGAGCGAGCAAAGAGACAGTATTTAGCCAACTCTTTTTCCTCAGAAACAACTGTTTTGTAAACTTTTTAAATGTCAGCTCCTCCTTGCTGTACATAGAGCTGTTTGAAAAGCATCACATCTAGGACTCGTATCAACAGAAATACGTACACAGAATAGCGTAAAATCCCACCAAAAGAAAAACCCATTATGTTCAGCAACTTAGGCCTCCCTCTGTGTAGGTTTTAACACTAGTACTAGGGTTACTTCTTAAAAAAAGATGACTGCCAGTAGATTGATGTGATAGCTACAGAAGATGAACATGGCTAGCTTGGTTACAAAGATGGAACGAAACCAAGGCAGAAAAATCAAGCAGATGTCCAAGTTGTGAGGAGAATGTGAGCAACAGAAAAAGGGACAATGGCTTAGTGAGTTATGAGCAAGGATATGGAGGAGAAAGCAACAAGTTACTAATGATGGCGAGGAGCAGACAGGGAGAAGAGCTGTTGAAATTCAGTAGAGGCAGAACAAGACAGAATCTGGATGAAAGTGGAAAGTTAGAAGCAGCTCAAGCCCAAGAGAGCAGCAGGGGCACCAGCTGTGGAGCATCTCAGAAAGACAGAGGGATCCCTTTCTGAAATGAAGGAGAAGACTGTGCGAGCTCTCCACTCTTTTCGACACATGTATTACCTGTTGTAGCCTCATTACCTTGATGGTCTGTATTGCCCCCGATCCTCTCAAGTTTCTTACGCTGTCTATCGCTTGCTGAGGTGCCAGCGCATCCGAAAGCTGAAGCAGGAGACATGCAGCTACTGTAAGGGAAAGATATACCTGCATGTATGCTACTGAGCACCTCTTGCTGTTTGCAGTACCATTTTTGCATAGTAATAGGTTTGTTACATAAAAACCACTCTAGCAAAACTCAGCCTCGTCATATTAGGGTCACAGAGCTGGTGGATCTTTTCCCTGAATACTATTTCTTGTCACTGGCCCCATCTGCCTGCTTCTCTTGCCCAAGCCTGCAGGCTTTGGGAACAGGTGAAAACTCTCCTGCTGTTTCCCCCCTGCCTTTCCAGCGGCATTCGGGAGGCAAATTCTAGGCTTATCAAGAATGAGTCCCAGCACACACAGTTAATTCCCCTTTTTGTCTTCTGACCGCGTTTGCTTTTTTGGCAATATCACCACCCCTTCCTTCTGGAGCACACACAGAAAGCTTTAGGGGGAACACTGGGCTGAAGAAAGATGCAGAGGAACAGGTTCATCTCCTGTTCTTGAGGATATGTTCAGGGAAGAGGGGAAAGTGCAGTCCCATCGGTCAGACAAGACTAAAATTTGCAGTGAAAACGGGGAAAGAGCCA